GTGCGGGCCATCTGTAGCAAAAGTTCTCTTATTACTTCGGGGAAACATATTTTAGGTGATACCACTTTTATCAAAATGAGAGAATCAATTTATAACGGGAGGAATGCATGACATGAATGAAATGCACAAGTAACATGATGTATGTACGTGCCGTACGTTCTCACAAACTTAGGGATAAATAATTTCTAACGACTAATTCGGTGGCATACAAACGATCTCTCAAATACGTAACTAATACGTTCTACACGATAGCGTTGTTATGTACCTGTAGAAGATTCATTTCAGCCCAATTCCCAATGAATGCATAAAAGCAGTAAAGTTTTATCTACACGCTCTACACGAATCCCCAGATACGTGTACAACGGTAGTAACTACCCAAACCATCGTCCTATTGACGGCATTGCCTCCATAGACGGAAGACCCATACATGAGATACCTTTGTAAAACATGCATAGAACATGTAATTACTCCAGCATCATATAAGCATTCCCCCTAGATCGGCGGTGTATCCGATCATGCTCTCACAACTCACACTTACCGAGGCGTAGAGGCAAATGATCCATACATTACCACTTAAACAAGTGGCACTCATACAATAGCACGCCGTATGAGCGACGAAAGAGAAATATGATGCAAGAACCCCAGTCAGTACTTAATTTAAGCCACCTAAAGTCCTTAACTGGGCATAAAGGATATGATCACTGGCACACTTTAGATTTTAAAAAAAATCACGTTTTCCCAAATGCCTTTTTGTTTTAAATACACTTGTGAACAGTAACACGCTAAACCATGCTCTGATGCCAGCTGTAACAGAACCGACCAATTATACGAAATTAAGTAAGAAAATCATCCGCTAGAGCAGACAATTTAGCAAACTTAAGCCCGTATAACCCGGTAGTCCGTGAAATCACGAAGGATTTCAAACCAACTTCCATTCCAGCCAAGATCGTAATAAGTTTAGCGGTCACCATCACATATTACATAAAAGTTCACAATCTCAGATACATCAGAGTTTAAACATAGTTATTACAAAACCAGTTCGAATGAAAGTAGCGGAAGCCATTTGTTCAAACCACACACACTCATGCGGAGTTCAAATATAGTGCCAGCGAATGATCATCCCCAACAAAAGCATTAGACGAGACGTAAGGAATGACCATGCCCATGGTCCTAAGCATCACCCATCGCAGGATAAAGGCAGTTGATACAGTAGCCGTAATACATCTGCCCATCTGTAACAAGTGGGAATAAAACCCTGAGTACGAGAAGGTACTCAGCTAGACTTACCCGACATAACCGAAAATAAATGACACCAAGGATTATGAAGGGCTTTATAGTAGGGTAGCTGACTCATTTGCAAAAGAAGCATTTTTAGCATTTCAAGAACCTTTCTAAAAGCATTATTGTCAAGTTAATTATTATTAACCTGTCGACTAGATTTGCACCTATACTAGAGCACACATATGATTAAGCAGATAATGATAACCACTGATCATTAAACAACTTCCATACTATCATATTCACTATAACTGTCCAAGTGTTCCATAAACATTTACTACGATGAAGTCACTCAAGTCAAGTGCTCACTATCCAGGAGCGATGGCGATTCGAATCGATTCCTAACCAGCTGATGATTTATTCCTTACACAAACCTCACTCACCCGCTAAAGTGAGATATTGATCACCGAGTCAACTTTTCAGGTATCTCGAGTTTGCCAGAAACCACATGTACCCGGGGGCCGACCGACTGCACTTTGGTCTTATCATCCCGCCCCCGTGTCCTACCACACCTGCTCCGGCACAGTGCGCTGCGGGCAATCTACTCGGCCCGAAAAATCTCCCAGCTTCGCGGTCGGAAGGTACTTTATTCGGCCAGCTAAATGTAAGGCATGCGTTCAACATGACTCGAGGCCCAACAACGGTCGGTCCTTAATCGACACAGACGGAAACACTACAGTCCAAAACTCTGCAAGTCTCCGTCCGGTCTCAACTTCATTTAACACTTAGTTATACCATGACTTCATAGTCATCCAAGCTGAAGGTGACAGGAAATCACCCGACTTCTACCGGTCTAAGCCAGCTAAGCATTGACTCAACTGCGGATACCAGGGTAACAAGGATATAGTATAACAAAGGTAAACAAGGTATAATGCAGCAACGGTTGCAAACAACTCCTAAACGTAATGCATCAATTAAAGTAAAGCATTTAATTAAATCATTGCAAACCGGGAGAAAAATGCTCCGGGGCTTGCCTCTCTCGAAGGAGCTCGAACGGTGATCGGGGCACTCCGGAAGTTCCTCAACGTCCTCCTCGTCGGCTTCTGGCACTTCCTGCGGCTGCACCTCGAACTGCTCCTCGGGCTCCTCGGGTGTGACGACTAGGTTCTCGGTTTGCGATCATGTATGATGCAATGCGTGTAAGTGCTTATGCAATCGGTGCATCGGATGATATGAATACAATGGATATGTTTGAATGCAAGGTAGTCAACCTCATCCAAAAAAATATACTACAAGCACATGTCATCTACTGCATTCTCTTCTACTACTAATATGTTAAGCCAACACATCTTATTAAATGCTTCAAAGATACACCAAAGCTAACATTATTAACTAACTTGCATTAAAGAGGATTATTTTATTTCATTTTAAGCTAGTGCTACAACAGCAACCTATATTTCTGGTGCTTATAAAAATCTAAGAAAATTACAGTAGCATAGTACTACTCTAAGTAGACTACCATAAAATTTTCATGGCGTTTGGATAAGTAAAATAGTCTACACAAAAATGACCAGGCATGGTAGGAATATGAACATAAAAATACTTTGAACTGTGAAAAGTGTCAAACAACAGAGTTAGTATTTTTCCTAGGTTCTTCATAGCATACAATGACTGTACAAAATTTATCACATGCATGTTTTATACAAAGTTTGCTCTCTAGCTAAAATAACAAAAATCAGCCATTAAAGGTACTTGAACTACACCTAAAAATTTTCCCACAGCTCATGCTTGAAACATATTTTTCCTAGGAAGTACATTACATAAGAAGATTAACAAACTTGGAATCATATTTTTCTGAAGCCTATAGATTTTTCTACACATTTTTCAAGTTATCAGCAATATACATGATTAAATAAAGTTTTACAGAAAAGTATCTCAAAAATGACATGCAATAATTTTCCCAAGTAGACCTGCTGATAAGGAACCTAGCAAAATTTATTTCAACAAATTTGGAGCAAATTTGAGCAAACAACCATTTTCCAAAGCATTTCACAGAAATCTGAAAAATCATTTCTTAAACTCTTTTAAAGAAATCAGGTGACAAACTACTTTGGGTGCACCCGTCTGTCTGTGCACCCAGATCCGATCCAAGCGACGACGGCGGGCCCCCACGGTCAGTCAACGGCCCCACCGTCGGTCGACCGAGGCAGGCGGCGGCGGCCGCCAAGCCGAGCTCTCGTAAGCCAATGAAGCTAGCCGGCGGTGTGGACACCACCAGTAGCTCACCCGCGACGAGGCAAACACGGTGCACCAAGAGAAAGCACAGGAGGAACTCGGGACAGGGCTCGACGACGCGCATGGCGGAGCGGCGGCGCTGCTCCCGACGGCCGGCCATCTCCGGCCGGGCAGATGCGCGAAAGGTGGTGCGGGAGCTTCACCGAGCTCGTGCGGTGGTTGTGCGCGCGAAGTAAAGGTAGGAAGAGGAGCGGAAAGGGGGAGTCCACGGGAGCGGAGCTCACCAGCGAGCTCGGCCGTGCTCCGGCGAGCAATTCCCAAGGACGGGATGCTTACCATGGCAAAACAATGAGAAAGCACGGGGTGTGGATGAGTCAGAGGCGTAGACGGAGTGGTCCTCGGCGAGGTGAGGTGGTGGGCGAAAGCGAAGCTCCGGCAAAGCGCGCGTCGTGCGTGGTGGCGATGGCGGTAGTGTGGTGAGAGGAGAAGTGAGAGTATTTGGAATGCGGTGGGCGGCGAGATTCAAGTCATGGCCAGTGCAGCAGAGCTGGCTGGCATGGCCGTGGGATTGTGTGTCGCTGCCGTCGGCAGGGTGGCGCCATCTGTGGCAAGCTCGACGCAGTCGGCGGCGCGCGCGTGACAGACAATGTGTGTGGAGAAGGAGAGCCAATGTATTTGGGTTGGGCCGAGGCGAGGCGAGGCGCTGCTGAGGCTTTTGGTTGGCTTGTAGTGGGCGAAGAAGGGTGGCTGCCAAGAATGAAAAAAAAATACTTTTCCAAATATAGTTTCAAGGAATTTTTACATGCCATCTTTCAAATATCATTTTGAGCAAGAAAATGACCTCTTTTGAAAATAGTCCAAAAATAAAAGTTGCTTAGAATTTAATTTTTTACAACTTTGCTTTTATGACCACAGCCAAATTCTTTCTAAATTTTAAATTGCAAGGTCAAAGTCCACGTTTAACTCAAAACCCTAATTTTTTTAGAATTTATTTTTGAAGCCAAATTTTGAATTAATTTGAATACAAACTTTGATCCAAAAATTGAACTAAACATTGCTAGATGATTTACAATAGTAGCCAAACATGTTTTATTAACCTAGCAAGCAAAATCAGGGCAAAACAAGTCTAACAAAGGTATGCAACATTCAGGTTTCACAACGTGTTTCAAATGTTTCGAAGCAGTGTTTCAATTGTTATTTACATGATTAGGCATGTGTGATTAGAATGCTTGATGATGCATGATATGCATGATTTGCAGTGACTAAATGCAGGTATAACACCAGGGTGTTACAAGGAGCCAGTTGCCAAACATAATGTTTAAGATTTCTTATTAGCAAATTATGGTCCATTTCATTTCGTTTTTCTTTTTTTATATCACTAAAAGTAATAAGTATCAAGTACGGGGGGTTGACTGCGAATTTTGATAATAATGGGTCAACTAGTGAATTTCGTGACAGCTAGCACTAGCTTCTTCGCCGGCCAGCCCTCCTGGGGCGAGGACTGGAGCATTAAAAACTCAGGCGAAGCCGCGGGGCGATCTGATCATATGGAAGCTGCAGCGAAGACGACGCCCCTCCAATTCGCCACATTGCGCAGCGGCGGTAGTCCCAAGATCTGCTCCGCGCAAGGCGCCCTTCAGGCTCTCAGGAAGCTTGGTGCCGTCAACGGTTCACAGCTTCCGCCTTTCTTTGGCGGCATCGCCCAAGCTCAAGGTTCGGGTGGGGTGGGCAAGCACTGCTGCTGCCTTCAAGATCCCTGAAGGTGTGAAAATGCATCTTTTTTATGCTATTGAGTATCGTATTCCATCTTGTTTGTTCCGGGAATTCTGGATTGCGAGTACACTGTTGGTCTGCTGCAGTATCTGCGAGTACTACCTCCGCTTCTCTGAAGCAAGTCGTTTTGGACATCGACACGGTCTTAAAAAACAACTTTGACTATAACTTTTTGCTATAAAATATTTATAAAATATAGTCAATATATACTTTTATGAAACTACATTTTAAGATGAATCTACTTACATCACTTTCATATTTTCAAACTCAACCCAAAAGAAATTATTTGTAGTCAAAGTTTAAAATATTTGACTTAAGACAACCTCAAAACGACTTGCTTTAGAGAACCGGAGGGAGTACAATATTAGGATGGTAGCGTCCTGGCAAACTGCCCAAGAGGTGCAGTCTTTGATGCGACCTTGTTTTATGCTGGATCTAATTTGTTGTTTAATGGAGGGTTCTGAGTGCAATGTTGCGTGTTTAGTAGCATCCTGGAGGGAGCTCAGTAGCAATTGAGGTGCATTCATGATTCATGTGTTAGGATGATCTCCACCAGTTGGCCCAACGGTCAATTAGGCCCTTGATCCGCGCCCTGATCGGGGGCGCTCAGCTGGTTCTCCTGGCTGATGGGCCCCCGTCGCGTAGCGCCGTAAAAGGATGGTGGGGGCTGTGGCACAAGACACGAGGTTCACTGTAGCCGCCAGCGCCCCACCGAAGTTCCTAACCCTAAACCGATCGAGAGGGGTGTTGTGAGCGACGGGAAGCGCCATCGCCTTCGCCGCCACCACAGCACCGCACCTGCTGCTGCGTTCGACGACCTAGCGGGCGCCTGCACGGCTTCCCCTACTACGACTCCAGTGGCCATGTCACGGTGGCGCCGTGGCCGTGACTGCGCATGGCGAGGTACATCACCGAGTCTCCCATCTAAGTCAAGTTTTACCCACTAGATCTGCACCTAGAGGTCCTATCAGTTCTATCATCATGTTGTTGGGTGATTTGGGCCATTTTGCAGTGTAGGAGCCCAAGAGGCCAAGAGGTAGGCAGGATCATGCAAATTGTTGGTTAATCCAAAGGAAGGAATGCTTGGAGGGTGGTAGATTCAGGAAACATGTCTTCAGATGTGCTATTAAGCTAATAGAGGTCTTTCAGTCATTGTGAAAATAAGTTATTGTGCATATTAAGTGCTAGGGGCAAATGAACAATGATGTAGTACTATTCGGAAGTCAAGAATCTGGTGCATAATTTATTGAAACCCACCGGCACGAAGGAACATTGACTTGTTCCTTTCTTCTGTACATCAATAACAATAACGTGGCTGGGCCACAGTGGACATCTGCCATTACCTTCACAAACTCCCTTTTTAAATTTTTTTGAGGTAAAATAACAAATAGGGAAATAAACTTTTGAGGCAAAAAAAAATTTGGGGGCCTCCAGCAAGTTGTAACATGGAAAAACATATATAGTTTTTATGTCTTCAGAGATCCCTTGCTTCATAAATATGTACAGGTCGCAAGCCATAACATTCATATAGGTTGGTTGTTAACAATATTTGATAAAACTATGCATGGTTCTCAATGATGGTGAGCAGCAAGAGGGGATGCCATTTTTATTTTTCTAACATAACAAGCTTGGTTCCTTGCAGAGAAGATATTATTCGAACACTTCCAAGTGAGTTATGATGGAGATGATTCTATCTGAGTTCACAAAACAAGTTATCATCTCACTTGGCAATTTAGCCAGTAATGAAATAGCCAAAGTTTTGTGCGTCAGAAATGAGATTAGCAAACTGTCGAGAAAACTTGAGAGTATGAGAGCTATCATTACAGATGCAGAGCAGACAGTTGTGCAAAATGAAACTACTAGGGATTGGCTGAAGAGGCCACGAGAAGTTATTTATGAGGCTGAAAACATAATTGACCGATGTAGGATTGAAAAGGAGAGGTTCCAAACATCAGAGCCACAGGTCAGGAAATGTCTTGAATCTTCCTTGATTTTATTTTTGTACATTCAGGGTTGCATGTTTGCATTATAGTTTTGGTATTCAGTATTCACTTAGAAGTCTTGACTCCCAAGAGCCGAGACTAAAATGTTTTGCTAAAGTCCCAATGCTTGTCCAGTGTTCTTGCATAGTCTACAACTGAATCTCCTTGGCTTTGAGAGTTCACCTAGTGGTCATTGCCATCCTCTGACATCTTCACATATTTGTAGAGCCTCAGCTCAGAGATGTGGCTGAGGCTAGGTGATATCCTTCAAAAGATGTCAATCCTTACAGGAATTTCCAACCAGCCGCAACAACACGTGGAAAGTTGAAACAACAGATGTTATTTACCGTCTGTTTTCCTTTTTATAGACAGCACAATGTAGTGATTATTTCTGGCTGCTCAGTTTCTCAAAATTGTCTCAAGTCTATAAATGTTCGCAAGATTCACAGCATGCTAAGTGGATCACAGTCTCATTGGTTCCGTACATGCTTGTGTGCTTAGAACATTATTTGGGTACTGACTAGGAATTTAAGAAGGATTGGTTGAGCTGTTCTAAGCATCATACACTACAAGCCAACTGATACCCCCTCAGTTTAAAAATACAAGGCATATGTTTTGGAAAGAGTTAAATTTTGCATGTTCTGATCAACACTTTTCAAATTACACAACTGTATTCATATTTTTTTAAAAAAGATTCACATTATATTAGGTTTATAGTAATATATGATTTATTCTATAAGCAAACAGTTTAACATAAAGACTGAGCCAAAACAAAATATGCCTTGCATTCGCTTTTTTCCTCAAACCCGCAGGAGAGCTGCATATTATTTCATTAAGAAGGCTCATTTATCAAATGCATTCACATATTTCATCCAAATTTGGCTATCCGGGTCAGGAATTAAATTGTTTCCTTTCTGTACAGGAATGCAATCCTTCATCAGTCTTTAAGTGCTGCAGAGATGTTGGTATTGACTACATAGTCACAAGTGATATACATGAACTGAATCAGAAACTTGACAGCATCATTGAAGAGGGTGAGAGGCTGCATATAGAGCCAGCGATTGAGGATCAAATAAGATTAGATCAAACAAGATCAGATCTTGACTTTGCTCCAGATCTAGAGCCTGATATTGTGGGCAGAGAGGTGGAAAACGACTGTGAAAATCTCATTGAACTACTAATAAAGAGAGATGATATTCCTAGTCGTCCCAATCGTCCTTTGTTGGCTATTATAGGAACAATTGGAGTTGGCAAGACTACTCTTGCTAGAAAGGTATACCACAAGACAGAAACTTTTTTTGAGCCTAGGGTATGGGTTCATGTCTCCAAAGACTTGCAGCATATGACAATGTGGTCAGGTGAGAGATTCAGTAAAGGAGATACTGCACGACTACAGGCAGAGCTGCGCACATGGTTACAAGGTAACAAGTTTCTGCTGGTCATCGATGATGTCTGGGGAGAGAATGTTTGGGATGGGCTGCTAGAGATACAAGCACAGCATGGCAGCCCTGGCAGTAGAGTCCTTATAACAACCCTGAATGAGCGTGTTGCGAGGAGGATGGGGGCAGTTCATCTTCACCATGTGAAGGGCTTGAATGAGGATGATGGTTGGTGGCTACTTCGTACAAGGGCTTTCCTTGATGAGAGCACTGGAAACATGCAAGATATTGGTAGGCGAATTGTGCAAAAGTGCAATGGCCTTCCAATGGCAATAAGGAGAATTGGATGCCATCTAAGGGAAGTGGACCTTAAAGAAGATGACTGGGAGAGAATCTACTCCAGTGATTTCTGTGGCCTTTCTTCGAGGATAAGAAACGCTATCAATACTAGCTACCTTGAGTTGCCATATTATCTGAAAAGGTGCTTTCTTTATTGCTCATTATATCCAGAGGGGTCTGTGATTGATCGGCAGTGTATCACCCAGCAGTGGATTGCGGAGGGGTTTATTGTGACCCAGCAGAACACAGCTGTTGAAGAGGAAGCTAAAAAATGCTATGAGGAATTGTTAGGTAGGGGCCTTCTTTTGCCCGAAAACCAAACTTATGGTGCAGAGAGATCGAAGATGCCTCATCTCTTCAGATCATTTGCACTTCTCCAGTCACAAGATGAATACTTTATTGGCAATCCTCAAGACATAGGTGATACTTTGAGGCCATGCCGCTTAACTATTACAACTGGAGGTGCAGAAGCGATCAGAAACGGTATTAGAAAGTTGAAGACCTTGAGGACAATAATCCTGTGTGGGAGCCCATTAAATGACACGATCCTGGGTGATATTTTTCAGAAGTGCACACATCTAAGGGTTCTAGATCTTGGAGATGCACAGATTGAGTGTGTTGCAAGGAGTTTGGGATCCATGATGCACCTTAGATATCTTAGCTTTGCAAACACCCAAGTTAGAGAAATTCCATCTTCCATTGAGAATCTTAGGATGCTGCAGTTCTTAATTCTCAAAAATTGCACTCGTCTGAATGCTCTCCCAGAATCCCTTGGCCGCCTAACAAACTTGAGGACACTTGACATCTCAGGATCTGGACTAAATCAAGTGAAATTTGGATTCTCCATGATGAAAGAACTCAAATGCCTACAGGGTTTTCTTGTAAGCTCAAGAGGTTCAGAAAATAGAAACGGTTGGTCATTTCAAGAGCTGGGGTCCTTATATAAGCTGACAAGCCTCAAGATTCTTAGGCTAGAGAGAACATTAACCGTGGAAGATGCAGTACAATCAGCACTCGAGGCAAAACATCATCTCAAAGAGCTTGAGCTATGCTGCAGCACTGATGATGGAACGACAGAAATTAGTAGAGCAGCAAAAATTAAAGATGTGTTTGAAGCACTCAAGCCAGGACCTTCTATTGTCTCTCTCAAGCTAGAAAACTATTATGGCCACGGATTCCCATCTTGGCTAGACCCATTCCATCTCCGAGAACTAAAGCAGTTGACCCTTGATGGCTGTTTGCATTGCCAATATCTCCCATCTCTGGGTCAGATGAAGAATCTAAAATTCCTAGCAATAAATGGTTCCAATTTGTTAACTTACATTGGCCATGAAATTCGTGGGACACCAGATGATGGGGTGGCATTTCTGAAGCTGGAGCAGCTGGTTATCAGCAAGATGAGCAACTTGAAGTCATGGCAGGGCCTCGAAAAAAGAGATATGCCTTCGCTCATGAATTTCATGATCATTGGATGCCCCAAGCTGGATTCACTTCCTTCCTGGCTCAAGCATTGTATGGCATTGAGAAGCTTGCATATAGATCATGCTGATAACCTGGAAGCAATTGAGAACATACCTGCACTTGAAGAACTTGAAGTTTGTGAGAACAGCAAGCTGAAGGTGATCTCGAACCTTGGAAGACTTGAAGATCTGAAAGTAGTGGCTTGCTTGCTTTTGGATGTTGTGCAAGATGTCCCCTCATTGCGCACCGTGCATTCAAATGAAAAGAATTCAACCAAGCTTCCGCAGTGGCTACAGCCAGAAAAACCTTTCATGCTCAGGAGATTGGAAGTTGTTGGAACTGAGGAGCTACTTGATAGCTGCTCCTCTGCAACTGCCCCATACTGGCCTATCATCCAAAATGCTGATCATGTATATGCGAATCTGCCAGATGGCTCCTTCTACTTCTCATATGCCAAAAGCAGTAGCTACTTCCACAAAAGCGCAAGGAACCTTGCACGGTCCTCTTTACTGAGCTCAGCTAGCTTCATTGTGCCGATTCTTCCACAAGCTGAAGAAGTTGTTTCGACGGATGAAATCAGAAACATCAGTGAGCCAACTGGCCAATCCTCAAGTCAGTCATGGATGAGGATACTTTTCACAGTTCTCTTTGTTGCTGCCCATATCTTTTCATTGTCAAGCGAATATTGATCACGGATGAGTTCTGTGTTTGGGCACCCTAAATGTTGATTACTATGCAATTGCCGTTCTGAATTCAGATGTGCCCTGTTTGTTGGGTCACAAAATTCATTTAGTGCATCTTTCTTGAACCATTTTATATTATTCTGTGTATTCATCAAGGCTTAAGTGAGTTATGTAATCATTAGACTGCCAACGAGCCTTTAGTCCATCTGGTTAGAGCGCATCAGCGGTTCTGGGTTCGACTCCCCGTGGGAGCGAATTTTAGGTTGTGGTTAAAAAAATCCCCTCGTCTGTCCCATGGCCAAAGTGCAGGTCAAAAAGGCTCGACCCGGTTCTCACAGGGCAACAATGCTCCTGTGTCAGGGTGGGGCAGGGGTTCGGGGGTTTTCTCAGCTTGTGTGAGAAGGTCTTTTTTTCATAGCAATGCCCGGGGGTGGTCTTACCCCCTGCAGGTCGAGTTTTTTTTATATAATCATTAGACTGGACTTCCTCATAAATGATATGCTTGAATTGTTCGGAGTCCTCTGTATTTATATATTCTTTGATATTGCTTGTACACATTAGCATTCTTTTCCCCATATTTCCTTTTCAAATAGTAAACCAAAAATGAATTTTAATTTCAATTGTCTCCTTTTGTTGCTATTCATGCAATGATGAGCTTGTACTCTAACTTTGGAAACCTACAATAAATGTCACCAGCACCCGGCCTGTCCCCATCTAAAAATACACCTTGAAGTATGAATTTAGCTTCAGTTTAAACTGGTAGATACATGAAACTCAACATAACATCAGAGCTAAGTGGCTCCAAATTTTGAAAGAAAAACTGTGGATCCATGTCGAACGGCATCGATGTAATATGAGTGTAATCACTGTATTGCCTATAACTCTCATTAACTTTATAGTAGCTCGTTGGTGTATGAAATTGGACGTGATGCTAATCATTTCTCTAGTGACGTTGTGATAAAAATTCTTAATCTGTGCACTTGGTTAATACACAGCTTATAAACAAACAAAAGGTTATGGGTTGTATTATCTAATTCAGTATCATGGATGCATAATTTTAAATTCAATTTACATATAAGATATAAAGATCTCAATTTTCATTTTTGAGATCGAGATGCGGCTTCTGGAAATTTGTGATGTAATTTAATACAAGTGTAACTCACACTTATAATGCCTTATACAAAGTCAGGTCTCATACACTGGAACATTAAAATTGAGATGTGCATATAAACTATCAATGCATCATACAATTCAAACTAACTCAAGCAGAACGAAAGGCAAAACCACGTCCTTGGCAGAACATGCTTTCATGATTCATTACTTCATTTGCAGGCAACAGCTTCAGTATTCAGACTGCAACTTTTCTGAACATTCCTAGACGTGCAAATACCAATTTATCTTTATCTTTGCAGCAAATATACATACACATAAATTACCGGCAGACTGAAGCAACAAACTGACGATCAAGTTGAGTAACTTATGTTCTGGGAATTTTGCAAAAAATAAATGATGTTTACATATTCTTTTCTTTCATTGATGCAGCACATCCATTTTTTTTTTTTTGAGAATTACAGCACACTTAGTTTTTAGAACCTTGACAAATGTGTCTTCTCCTAAGCACTCTGCAGCAGCAACTTTAGAATCCTGCCGAGAATGATACAGTTTCAAAAACTATTTGTGGATGTGCAATTCTGCTGAGAATTGCGTAAAGTGGACATGCACTTCTGCCGAGAATGTTACAATTTCGAAATTTATTTATGGTTTCTTTTTCATCTGATCACAGTTTGATATGAGAGAACCCTCACTCAAGAAATACAAGCAACAGCAAGAACACTGTTGTGAAGAAAATGAAGAGGGTCTGAACAAGCCGAATCTCTCTGCTTGTCCTATTCTGCAGCAAATAGGACAGAACTTGCATAAGAATGGCAGCCATAATAAGATACGGAACGAGGTAGTGTCTTATGGCCCTCTTCAGCGTGGAAATCCGTCTGAGTGGTACTCTGGGCACACCAACTCGAGAGGTTCTCACAACAGAATTATCAAGTGAAATGTTCAGCGCTTCGTGTGGAATCTCAGCTGCTAACAGGGCAGATGGGTTTCCTCGTTCACCGATTCTTTGATCGACATGGAAATCAGCAGAGCTTTTTGTGTAGGTGAAGAATGGAGATTCATCAGGTAGGTTTGCATAAACTTTGCTTATGTGACGGATGATTTCCCAGTCTTCATGATTGGGAAGTAATCTTTCAAGCAATTCTGCTCTGCCAACTATAGTGAATGTCTGCAGCTTGGATGCATTAGTAGCAACCCAATCTGGAAGTTCTCTTATCTCTCTATCTACAATGCGGACATGACTAAGGTGGACTTCAGTGACATCCTTCAACCGAGAGCAACCAAGGACTATCAGAACTTCAAGTAATGGAATATTTGAGATTTTTTTAAGTTCATTGCAGGCTTGGATAACCAATTCTTTGAGCACAGGCAAGTCCTCAATGATTTGCAGGCTATCAATATGGTGCAGTTGCATGCTTGTCAAGACTTTCGAGTTCTTGATTCCAGATGGCAGGTTACACAGCTTAGGACAATTCTCCAGACGGAATTTCACAAGGGAAGGCATATCAGCAGATGAAAATCCTATCCATGATTCAAGATTGGGCATGTCTCAAAGGTGCAACTGCTCTAGCCTTGGAAACGCCTGATCGGTACCTGTTTGCTCTTGCTTAATGGTAACTAACTTGGAACAGGCTGTTATAGTCAGGAACTTGAGTTCGGTTAGCTGGCCCAGGTTGGGAAGATGCTCACAGAATTTGCAATCAGTAAGAACAAGGCGCTGGAGGTTTGAGAGATTAGGTAGCCAATCAGGGAAAACTTTTCCATAATAGCTCACTATTTTGAGAGATTTCAAGCAGTGTGGAGGAGAAAGGCAATCAAATACGTCCTTAAGTGTTTTAGCATCTTCTTGTTGTACTTCAGACTGTCTATCATCATTGCTACAACATAGTTCAAGTTCCTTGAGGTGTGACTTCTTCTCCAGCATGGCTTCTTGCACCCTCAAAGGATCTGAGACTCTTTCCAACCTCAGAATCTGCAGGCTTCTCAATGCATCTAGAGATTTTAGGTCTTCCAAAGGCCACCCAGTTGGATCATCCTCACGCTTGGATTTACGGTTTACTACGAAGCCATGTAGCGTGGAGAGCTGCTTCAGATTTACCAAACTTGGTAGGACCTGATACAAGTTGGTTCCTCGAAGATCAAGATATCGCAAATATTGCAGTTTACCAATTCCATTTGGAAGATTATGTAGCCAATTGCAGTATCGAAGACCCAAGAACTGTAGATTTGTTAGGCACTCGATGGACTCTGGAAGCTCTGTAATTCGTGTTAGTGAAAGATTTAGCAGTCTAAGGTGATATAGAGATTCTAATGTCCTTGGAATATACTTAATTTCAGTACCACCAAGGTCCAACACCTGCAAATATTTGAGCCCCTTAAACAGCTTGTCTAAGCTGCGATTCCCCAATGGGTTTTTGTATAGAATAACTGTCTTCAAGCTTTCCACTGCTCCTATGTCTTCCACAGTAGTTCTTAGTAGGTTGCTTCTAATCCACACATGTCGCAGTCCTTCGCTGGAATTTCCATTGATGCTAGTCTTCAGTTCGCCAGTAAAATTTTTATCATTGACAAAGAACTGCAAAAAGGATCTAATTTGATCATGCATTGTGCATCTTGTTATGTCATCATTCCCAATTTCAGGCTGCAGAAGGTTCCTTGATAACAACTCTCTGTAATACTCCTCTGCAGTCTTTTCAGGACTACAGTTGTCTCTTTCATCATTTAAACCCTCCGAAATCCACAGTTGACTGACAAACTGCTGCCTGATGACAAAGCCTTCAGGGAACAGTGATAAATAAATAAAGCATTGCTTCAGATGCAAGGGCAAATCATGGTAGCCCAAATAGATGGCCCCAGTTAAGCCATGGACATGGTCTCGAAGCTCCCTGAAGGACCATCCTTCGCTTTCATACACTCTCTGCCAGGCCTCACGGGTCGGTTCTTTTGTTCTTAGGACAGACCCTATAATCTTGACAGCCATTGGAAGCTTGTTACATTTTTGGATAATCGCTATTCCGATATTCCTTAAAATGTCGCCATGTAGGCTCTCATCTAGACAAGAAGCCCGGCAAAGCAAGGACCAACAATCCTGAAAAGTCAATTTCTTAACCCAGTAGATGTAAGCATCCTTCATCTGTGTCGAAATACTCTCATCACGAGTGGTGATCAAAATCCGGCTTCCATGACCACAGACATGCAAGTGAGCATCTAGGGAATTCTCATAAATTTGATGGCTGCGGACATCATCAAGCACCATAAAGAATCTCTTTCCTTTAAGAATGGCTGCCAACATGGCCTCAAGTTGTACCCTATTTTCTTCTCCACTGGGATTTCCACCAGCAGCCTTCACAATCGCAGAGAGTAATCCAATACCATCCAAGTCGTTGAAAACACTCACCCATACAACAATAGTGAATGCATTTCTGGTGCGATGATCGTCATGAATTTTCCTTGCCAGTGTAGTTTTTCCGATTCCACTATCCCCAACAATTATCATGACTTTGTTTGGACTCTTCCTCTCTGTCAATACGTCAATCAATTTATTTTTCACATTTTCAATGTCACCCAGAGTATCATCATCGAGCACCACCCCACAAGAAAATTCAGAGCTCCCACCCTGGCCTTCCTGGTTGATTGCTTGAAGTCCCAATTCGGAACCTTTCTGTAGAATACCATCCATTTGTTTATTGAGGCTACTGATACTGGTTTTGAAAGTCTTGTACTGGTTTCTGTCCATGTTTGATGGTAATGTAAACCAATGGCGTAACTGTCCACATGAAGATTGTAGATGATATTAGTAACCCGCAAAAATACTTTGAGAAAAGACTAACAAATTAATATATAAAAAACTTTGAAAAAAGTTCCAAATTTGCTCGGCATCACGAGATCCAAGAGAAGGCAGGGAGAGCGCTCGTACCGATCTCCGGCCCTGCTGGTGGCGCCGGGCGGCGGCGCGGCGGAAGTCGTCGACAGAGTCTCCGAGCACGTAGAGCGCGTCCCGCAGATCGCGCAGCCACGCCCTGGCGCCGGCGTCGCGGCCCTCCTTCGCCTCGGCGTCCGCTGCCAGGCCCCGCGCCCTGTCGAGCTTCCGCTCCAGCCGCCGCAGCTCGTCTGCGGGGACCCCGCCTTCGCCCGCGAGGAGCGCCGCCACCGAACGGGACGCGGCCGGCAGCGCCGCGGTTGCGATCATCATGGCTGCGGCGACGTCGGCACGGCAGCGCCTCGGAGGGAAGGAGAAGCTCTGGCGACCACTGTGGTAAGGTCAACGCGCGGCAACTTGAGACACCGGGGGATGATCGTGGGCGACGTCATCTGACGCCAGCAACGCAGCTTGCTCATACTCCTGGCTGGTTAGCACATCGTGATTAACGTAACCAGGTGGATGCCACGTTGATTAATTAATCAACTAAATTAGTGATTAATAACAGTTGATTAGAAAACTTCTGGCAATCCTGACTGGCTGCTTTGGACCATTCGTCCAATTGTTGCACCAATAGAAAAAACTGAACTATAGAGAATAGCTGCAATTTGAACTGTTACCGATTTTTGACCGGGGACTTGACTGAATATGTAGTTGGAAGACCATGCAAATTGCAAAAGAACTTCATTTATACACGGTACTCAGCTCAGGAATCGTAAAATATATAATTGCCCAAGCAAATCAAAGCCAATGCAATGCAAGCTGACACAGCAAGCTACTAGTTTGTTTCTTTCTTCGTAATGCTACATACACTGGTTAGCAAAAGGTTGGTGTTTCAGACATTGGTTTTCACAGGGCATGTATCTCGAACGAGCCGAATTTGTATGCGAGTATGCCCAAGATTCTACACTATCTTATCCAATGATATATACTAGTTACAACTCTGCAAATCCATATTTGTCAGTGTAAGACTACCAAATTACTGATGTGGAAGTACAATAGGCAGCCACATTTTTATTAGCGAGAGGGCAAATTATTCATTGCTATACACTACTTCACCCCTAAAATACCTGCTCTAATCCCTAACTCCTACTTCCCCTTCCATCACCGTTTCAAAGTTTCAAAATAAGGCTTGAAACAGAGTGGAAAACAGCATCAAGAAACCGACGCATCAAGCATGCTTTTTTTTTTTTGAGCAACGCATCAAGCATGCCTTGAGCTGTCGCCATGATCATCTCCGTGGAACTATTTGTCCAGATTCATCCTTCTCGAAGATCCTTGCGATCCACTCCTCCCATACTGCCCTGCGCCTTCCGCTGTCTGATAGCAGTGGGGCCTCAGCTGCTTCAGAAGTAGGATTCTCATCGAACGTACCATATGCTGATGGCATTTTTACATCAGCAACCCCTAGTGTGATCGCACGTCTCAGCGCCTCCTGCTGCTCCTCGTCGTGATCTCTTGTAGCAGTGATCTCATCGCCCATCCTTTGAACCTCAGGTGCTTGCATGGTTTTCTCACTCTCCAGCAATAACTGAAATGATAAGAGCTGTTAATTTGCATCCCGTTTATGCACTTTTACTCACCAAACAGGCTGATGCGGAAAGTGTCACAGCCAAAAAAGGAAAAAAAATCCTCCGCAATTTGAGAGTGAAAAAGGTAAGGTCAAAAACTTCTCACCTGGACTATTGTGATTTGTGAAGCAGTTTTAGGCAGGTGTTACAGACTTGTAGTTCATTACCATAGGCGAATGATACTAACAAGCATTTCAAAGGGAAACAAGTCAATTTCGATGACAAAATGCAAACTTACATCTAATGCCCTTTGGGTCTCTCTTTCGATCCATATAATAGCATGATCAGATGTTGCGTTGCAAGAGAGAACAATGCGTTCAAATCTCCCATCCACCGGAACTGCTGTTCTCACAAGAGGGGGGTATCTTCCACATCTGCAGCAATCAGGAATTGTTTCAATAAAATTTCTGAACTATGTATCAAAGATGAAAAGCGAAATAACTATTTTTTTTCAAGAAGTTTATCCTGTAGATATTGCTCATTGCATTATGTGAGTTACAAAAATGAATTGAAACCTACTTTGCATTAGCATGAAAATCTGCACACAACAAATTGGTGAACTATCAAATGGATCATCACAAGTCACAACCGCATAGCCTACAGATTAACAATGGCAGATCTCCATATTTTATTATTTTGACCATAGCATCCAGTTCTGTTGAAATAGCAAGCATTTAGCTTTTTTCAGGAAAAAAAATATAAAGGCAAATTCATACCTGAAAGGTTTCCTGTCAACAATGTGGTAAAGCCTACCAGGTGCATAGAGGCGCCTTGGATCTCTCAACATCACACTTTCAGGTATACAGGTGTCTATTAGGCACCTTCCACATAGAAGGCATGGTAAGCTGTACAAAGAGGACTACATCAGGTACCCTGAAAATAATCAGAGACCATAAATCCCTACAGATATGCATTATCATGTTGGTGATACATAAGAGTTAAGTTACATTACCAGAAGAGTGACTTGAAGATGTCTTCCAAAGGAATGTCTGTGCGAGGCAAAAAATCATCCTGGTTCACCAGATAGGACCATCAGAAAGATTTAACAGCATATTTCAGCTGGATTCTTGATCCAAGTAATGATAGAGGAAATTGCCAATAACACTGTGTTGCCAGTGCTACACGAAAGATCATCATATAGCTTTGATATAAGCATCATTGGTTGTGAAGAAATTTGAAATTGAATGAAAGGGGAATTAATTTAGGCTCTGAAGTGGCAACAGCATAACTGAATTACAAGTGATTACCAATTTAATGGCCAAACACTTGTAAAACTAGTAACATAATGACACTGTTTTGGTAATTAACTAGTGATGGAACCTTACCTGAAGAATAACTGCATTGATGACATCCGCATAACGGACAGCCAAATTGAGTGACATACATCGGGCTGGTGCCATTGCAAAACAACGTATCCTCTTCCTGTCTACACCACCGAGCAGCTCCCTATTGCGCACTGCCAGCAAAGCTAGCATTGACACCACACCAGAGCCAAGAGAATGCCCAGCAAATGTGAGCGTATAACCAGGATTCCTCTCCAGAAGGTCCTTTAGAACATCACACTCAGCATCGAAAACCCACTCGGCAGCCTTAAGCAAGCCATTGTGCACGTAGCCACCATCGAACCTCCTCTGCCCAAGCTTGTTATCCAGAAGGACAGCATAGTCACTCTCCTTCATCATGTCCATTCCCCGAACAGCAAGCACGACATCTGAATGTTGGTGATCAACATACAGAAGGTATGTTGGTGCATGACCATGAGTGTCTTCATACGTCCTCCGGTGCACCACCCAACGTGGCTCCATGCCATAACCACCTGGAGGCGCCCATTGGGGGTTCTCGAGGTCATCCTCATAGACCGAGAGGATGATCCGACACAACCGTGGCACAGGCTCAAACTCTTCAGCCGTTGCAACACCCCAGGTCTCACTGTCGTAGCCTCCGGAGTGGAGGCAGCACTGCCACACCCACCGCGCACACGCCAGGCAGTACACGCACTCGACGACAGGCAAGCAGCACGCGATTGACATCACATTAGTCGACCTTCAGAAATCGCTGTTGCGGTACTGACCATCGGATAAGCTGAAAACACAAAAGGAAAAGAAAAAAAAAGGGTTTGTGTTATTCAGACAGATTTCAAAGAAACGTTTTGTTGCCATTGTGGAGCAGTGAGAAGATTGTGTTTGTGGATTTCATTGAAGGTCAGGTAAACTAGTTGAAGCAGAATACCATAACCATAAGTCCATAACAGTGTAGAAGGGAAGGCTGAATATTCTCGGTATCACAGAAACAATTAAGAGGAAATCCCAGAAACAAGAAAATGACGAATGTAGTGTAGCAATGGACTGCCTGACAGGTCAATCAATTCAAGGGTACTTCTAAACGATTGGAGTGAGCTTTTGGAAGGAAAGTATCTCAGTAATTAATCTATGGGTTTTGTCCCTTGAGGCACCTGCAAAGCAAAGGGGAGCCTAGCACGTAGCACTAGCAGGCAGCTACCTGAAAAGAGTCAAGACCAAGAACTGATACTAATTTTGCTGAGGGGAAAAAAGAAGACGGGCTCTTGCAGGCACCGTACTCCTTGACCAAGCGACACCCCTGTTCCGCCCCTCAGCAACGAATTACTGGAGTGAACTTTTACCTCCCGATTCCCAAGTCCCGAAGCATGGGACATCAAGCAAGTCGATTAAGCAGCCGAAGACAGTAATCAACCGGCGGAAATGGAGCGAGGGGAAGGAGAATCTCACCACCCTGAAATTGAAGCTGCAGGAAGGGAGGCATCTGCTGAGACGGCATCCCGGGAAGAGGGAAATAGGTGCAGGCGTGGCGAGGCGAGGCGAGGAGGGGATAGTCGCGGCGGCAAGCCCCGCAGAGCTCCCTGTCTCCCAGCCTTCCAGGTACTCCGTACTTTTCTTCGCGTCAAGGCAAATAGGTAGCAGCTCGCAAGACCAGTGGCTGCAACTACTACTACGAGTCGAGACTCAAGAGGACGGTGGGAAGGGTAGGTATACGATGGGAAGGGTAGGTACATATGTCCAACGGGCGGCCCGGCATGACCCGATGGGGTTTGGGTCGGCACGGCACGCCGTGCCTCCTGGGCCGTGCCGAGCTGGGCTTCGCGCCTGGCCGACGGCCCAGGCACGGCCTACTGGGCTGTTTTTCGTGCCGGGCCGGCCCGGTAAGCACAGCCTGTGAGGGAGGCCGGGCCTGCCCAAGGCTCGCTTCAGTAGGTGATGACGGCGTTGAGGTCAAGGGGGCCGCCGGCCGCGTTGCCAGCATCAGAGAGAGGAAAGGGAAGAACAAGAGGGGCAACACGGGAGCGCGGTGGCGGCGGTCGACGCTGGCGCGCTCGCCCTGGCCTCGAGGCAGATCCGCAGCGTCAACCGTCGGAGCAGGCAACGGGATGCCAGATCCGGTTGCCCAAAGGCGAAGTCATTTGCCAGCGAGCTCGGGACGGCGGCATGGAGGAGGCCGCAGAGACGAGAGAGAGGCGGGGAAAGCGAGGCAAGTGCAAATTGCTGAGCCGGATCCGGGAGCCATTGGTGCGGCAATGCACCCGAGGCGCAGAAACTGGGGCCACTGGCGAAAGCGGAGGACAGGGGAGCAAAGTCATGGGAGGGTTCGCGGAGGAGGCGTGAGTCTTGGCCGCGGCATGAGAGAGTGAGCGCTGGGTGATCGCGTGGGGATCTGCGTGGGGGCGGAGGAGGCCGGGGGGAGGGAAGGAGTTAGGGTTCGGGAATCGGGAGTGGGGGCACGGGACTGGGGCGAGTGAGGAGGCGGGGAGGGGGAGGGGGAGGGGAGGGTAGTAGCGGGGCCGCTAGCCTGGCCGCTGATTACAGGCAGGTGCCGCAGTGCTGCCGTCGCCGCCCGCGTGCTGGGGTAAGGCCAGTGCACGGGCTGCTCCTCTGTGCCGGGCCAAAAAAATGGGCCTTGGGCCGGGCCGACGGGCTCGGGCTGTATAGCCAACTATGAGGGTCGGTCCTGCGTCCTGCCTGACCGCCACGTGGCTGTGCGTACCTGTGTTTTCTGCCCACCGTTCAACTTCACGTCTTATTTCTACTCTCTACGCTCCCACTGTTAGACGTCTTCATTGATATCTAGAGCTAACTGAATCAATTTTTTTGTCATTAAATAGTATAAAAAATTAAAATACTAACATAAACTTAAGAGATAGTCTTACACATTTCACAATACATCCATCTCACACAACATGATGTCTTCTATATTTTACGAGAAATAGTTTGGGATTTCTGATGCAAAATTATCTTCTATATTTTAGAAGCTAGGTTTTTGAAACTGTTGAAAGAACCCAACAAATATGTTCCGAACTTTTTTAGCCACTTCTAAAACGCATTGATTACCATTTTTTTTTGGAAAACTATTAGAGATGCTCTTAGACATCTTCTTTGATCTAGCTTAGAGCTAGCTGAATTAATTTTTTAGTTACTAAATAGTGCAAAAAATAAAATAAACTAGATAGTCTCGCATATTTCATGATACATCCATTTCACAGAGCGTGAATGATCAGGACTGCATGTTGTAGTATTTCTCTCATCCATATTTCTCAGACTAGAGCTAGTGTTAGCTTATATTGTTGAAGACGCTCTTAGTACAATTATATGACTAGGGTTGATACAATGGCCTTTTTCAGTCCATGTATACCTCGCTTTTCGATGAATCAATCAATCTTAAGTTAAAAATATATTTATGATACTGATCATGTCATACATTTTTATAATATAAATTTATTTAGAAATATAAATATCGATATTATTTTCTATAAATTTAATAAATTTAAAATTAATTAACTTCTTGAAATATGGTATATGCATTTATTTTAGGATGGAGAAGTAAATAAAATGAAGGAAACTTTGTGCATAGTTCCAGCAGACTTGTTGACAACCTATTCATGATACTTACTGACAAATGAATGACGGCAAAAGGAGAATGGAGAATGAATGACGGTAAAAGGACAAACATAGATAAAAGAAACTAGCATACTCCACGCGTTGCCGCGGGATTTTCTTAGAAATAAATCTGTTATATACATAATATTACTATATAGTATTATGTATACTGTGTATATATATGAATTTAGCTTGCATTTTATTTTATTGTATCTGATTTGGTAAAAAAACAGGTAAGCTAATAGAAGAAAAACCAATAGAATATTTGATTACATTACTGAGGAATATGTGATAAAACAAATAGCATATATAGATGACTTGTATGTTAATAAACTAAAGATTAAAAGTATTGCACATAATAGAGATGACATGAATATTTTTGGTAGTTAATTAGGGGTGGCATGGACTTAGTGGGAAATGACGTACACGAAGAGATAGAATATTTAGTGGAGTTATTTAGTGAGGAATGATGTGGACACCTTGTATGAAGAGAAAAATCATCTAGTGAGGTTTAGCTTAAGTATATAGATTGTGATTACTGGATGGCCGAGATGGATATGGAGTCTCACAAGTCACAGTAGATGGGACAGAAGTCACCGCATGGCTGAATGCAGCGAAGGTCTATCAACAACAGATGGCGAACACGCGGTACTGCGGACTGCGGTGTGCGGTAGCCAAAGGCGGGCCAAGCTAAAAGATGTAATGGGCCCACTTCACGGCTCTCTCAGGGTCCAATATGAGTCCGGTCATGGTCTAATACCATCCATATAAGGGCCTGTTCTTAATGGGCCGATTCCTGGCCCGTCCACATGGGTTCGGCCGGGCCGAGATGCATTTTCCAAACAAAAGCCTGAACATACGTTTTTTTTCTCTTTTACTTACTATATATAGTATACAATAATATAAAACACTTATAATATAAAAAAAATAGACATAGAGACTGGAGATTTTGCAACATAGGCCTTGTTTAGATTGAGAAAAATTTAAACCCGATGAATAGTACCACTTTCGTCTTATTTGGCAAACTTTGTCCAATCGTGGACCAACTAGACTCAAAAGATTCATCTCGTGATTTCCAACTAAACTGTGTAATTAGTTATTTTTTTTACCTACATTTAATGCTCCATGCAAACGTCCAAAAATTGATGTGATGGAGAGAGAGTGAAAAAACTTGGAACTTTGAAGGAAACTAAACAAGGCCATAGGTATTATGTCAAGGTCATACACGAACATAGTGAAAAAGAGGGAATAACAAAGAGGAAATGAGTTACCTCAGCATATGCCATTGCCATCCTTATCTGTTTTTTTTTAATTACACAGTATGGTTGACGTGGATAATCATCTCCGATCTCCATGGCCCAATAGAGAGTGCTACAGCTAGTCGCCTCGTACTGGCCAGCCACTTCCATATTCTCCAAAGTTCTGCGTGGCCTAATTTTGTAAAGAAAGTTCTTCGAGGTGCACGATCATGGCAGGCACGAAGTTATATAATACTGTACGTCGCTTTGCGTAGAAGTCTGAACTAATGAACCTGGCAGTATGGATTGCATCACCTTTCCCTTCCTGTTCCTAAACATGTTTAACAGGACCGTTCGCCCGCCCCACAAGCTAATATTCGTTAAGCTGCCCTACTATAGTCTAAGCATTGGTTACATACTAATGAGAGATACAATAGGTTTCAAAGGGGGGCAGGGGAGACTAAATGATCACCTAGCTACAGAATCTGTTAAGTGCCCAAGCAGGAGCGAATGAATGCATGCACCTCCCTCCAACCGTACATCGGTCCACCATGCCACCATGGGATGAAATTCCATGCAATTTTAACTAGTAAACATTTCGAAAGGAAAAAAAGATACTGTATCTGACTGGATTTTATTTTATTTTTATTCTGCTAACTGTATTTTATTTTACCTGAGACGCAGAGAGAATGTGTGGTGTACTGTGTGCATATCCTTGTGTCGACCAACGGCCAGAGCACATATCAGCGAGTCATGTAAAGTTGCAACTGAATAAAGCCAGTGCTAATTTTACCACCAAGCCTTACCATTTTCGTGTGTACCTTCCTCACTGTTGACGACATCAGCCATGAACTTGCACGACCACACTCCAACCACCAACGCAAT